GACAACACATGAAGATGTCTACTAGTCCTGCAAGGATGAAGGGCGGCGCCACAGCATAACACATGGCATGATACATGCGTGCCTCGATTTCAACTTCGACCAATTGCATTAGCTACATTTAATCAAAATGCTTATAACGTGATTATTATTACCTTATTCAATTTCATGGCGACGAATCTCACATAAACTCTATAACTACTTCCGGGTTCTAATGGTGTGTTATTGTAACCATGGTAATTCAGACCATCACCGATGGTGAAAGTAGAACTAGTAGTAGGTATCTCAGCAGCGATGTAAGAATGGTTCACTCTCATGTCTTTAGATGTGAAAACTTCTTCGTCTGTCTTATCGACGGCAACTTGATACCAACTAAAAGTGAAAAGAAGCCAATTTCACTGATATTTTATCGGTTTTTCCTTTATTCTTCAAGACTAAAGCTTTCAAAAGGTTGATTACAGAAAACCAAAATACATGGCTTTTAATTTTCACTTGTGATAGTCGGCGGATCATCACTATTATTTGCTAACTTTGATGCACGCTTTCGACTGTCCATTWACTGAGGGAGATTTTCCACCGGACCAATCACTGTCAACCGGCGTGAGCCTTTCCTAGAGAAGTAGATAAACATTATCTTGCAACATACACTTACCGATCTGGTATTGGCTCTTTATGCAAGGTGGCAAGAAAAGTGATCACCACTGACGTTTGATTGATGGAACTCTTGTTACTTATTTGAAATAGGGGTGGATCAACTGGAATATTAAGAATAAGAGATCRTTTTAATTAAAGGTGGATCTCAGATTRGGAATGAAGTTTTCTCACTTTTTGGTCTTGCTGCAAACCTCACAAATTTGGATTTTCCAAAAATCTTTTGCTGAAAGCAAAGTAAGAGGTGATTATTCATTTTCACTSATGACTTTTTGATTTGCTGCAAAACATTGTGATATAGATTGCTACAATTACCCCATTCATTGCCATGGTAACGATCCTCACGTGARCCCTGTACACACATCCGGGTTCTAATGGTRCATTATGGTAACCATGGTAATAGAGGCCATCGCCAATAGTAAAACTASTAGCATCATTTGGACTGGCTGGAACCTCTGCAGCGATGTAAGAATCATTGAACGCTGTCTTGGTGATGGTAGAACATGTCTCCACAGAAGCATTGGTACAAGAAGTTGTAGGAGATGGTATTTCTTGACCTTTTTCCACTATAAATTGATACGAGCTGAAAAGAGACATTGATTATCAGAGGGGATATTTAAGAATGTTGATAAGAGAGTCAYTTTCACCTTTTCAATCGTGAGTCCAATGTCTCAGTTGCTTTGGCAAAGTTAATAATTGCTGCAGAACCCGTGATGCCGTTGCTTGTGTCGATTTGAAAATGAGGGGCATCAGCTTTCCAAGAAAGAGCAAACCATAATCAAGTTATAAGAGAAAATTATAAGCACTAATTTTCTTAATGATGTATACCGGACAAGTACCATTAAGTCACATAATTTGAAAAAATATATTTAATATTTTTTGACCCTAATTTTTGCAATGTAAAAAACGTTACCTTTTTTRCACGTGACGGCAACGTCCTGGTCATGAGTACAATKGCTTGTCTGCCACCAACCTGAATGTCTACAGTCAAAAATTGAATCTTCTGCTCCAGTGCATTCAAGGTCCCTAAGCCAAATATTACCATTTCCTGGAATCGTGTACACGTGACTTACTCCAACATAACCAAGCATGCGACATATGACTTTACCATCGTTCATATCCAGTCTTTTGTTGCATAGAGTACCCCAAGTGTTACCATAGCGAATGCCAACTCGACCAGAATGAGGTGTGGTACCATTTTCTAAACGAATGTCTACAGCTAATTGTCCTGGAGAAGAAAAGAAACTTGAAGGCACGCTGTTGCTACCCGAATAAACTAACCTACTTGCCAATTACAAGTCATCTTAATCCTTTTTCATTTTAATCCTGTAATGATCTTAATGGACRGAAGGTTAATCCTATAAGGATGGAAACTTAATGATGTACACAAAGTGAAGAAAGTGTTTTGTAGTCGAGAATACATCAAGATTTTGATAGGCTTTCTAACGTACCTGGCGTTTTGCATACGATTACAGCGTCAAAGTCACAAGTCGTCTGCCACCATCCTGTGCGACTGCAATTCAGTATTGAAGCTTCA